TATCTATCTATCTATCTATCTATCTATCTATCTATCTATCTATCTATCATGCTTCACTGATTCTTCAGATGTGGAAGTTTCAATCACAGTTAAAACCAGTTAAAACCAGTCCAACATACAGTGCGTGTTCATTGTACAGACAATATGTGTTTCTATATGAAACCACACCTGAGGCTCTTTTGCACGTGCGTTTCATCATGTTTTCCTACTCCACACGTGAAGTTGTTTTTGCCCCCCCCCAGTATTTATCACCCGACCATCTCTCCTCCACAATCGATCTTTGGTAATCTGAGCCCACCGTGCAGCTGAGGCTTAAGTGCACGTAGGGGTGGGTGGGGTGGCAGCAGCGATGGAGTGATAGAGTGGGAGATCTATAATTGATGATGTTTTCTAATGACAGCTGAAAGCTGCAGTGTCTTTGTGAACACGCCCTGATGGATTGTGTGTTTGTTTGGCTGGGACTTCTAGGAGGAGGAGTGTGCAAAACAAAAGCCACGCTCAGAATAAGATGGCTGCTCATGGGTTTGCTGTTCGTTAAAGATAAATGTGTTGCAGTTATCAGCTTTCTATGGTGTCAAAACTCACACCACAGTGAATTTTTGTTCAAACAGCACAGGCCCTTTATGTTTTATTGCATCTTTAATCTGTCAATCAAACTGTTTTATTGTGTCTTGACCACTTTAAGTATCCCTTAAAATGTACTCTTGCACACAAGAACTGCATTGCATATCTGCACATGGCAATGATTTTGTTTTTGTCCCAGAACACAGCAAAGCAAACAGAAACACCGTTGTGGAAATTTGAAGACTGTTTTTTGGCCTTTGCAGTGAAAACGTTGCTGGTTCCCAGCAGCTTCTCTCTGTGTTGCTGTGCAGCAGCGTCTCTGCAGGGTGGATACCACTGCAGACAAAAACAACAGCCCACCTCTGTCTTCCTCCTCCTTCCTCTCTTCTTCTGTGTTTTTCAAAAATCCCTGAAAAGACCTTCACTTGAGATGGGGCCTGGGACGCTGCTGCTTTTTAAATATTTACGAGCCACTTGATAAGGGCAGCTGGGCTCTTGATTGTTGTCCCTTTACTGTCTGCTGGCAGAGAGATGACGAGCTCCCTCCTCAGATCCACATTTTGTCTCCATCCCACACAAATGCACTCTCACTAGGAGGACATGGACGTCCACTGGGCAGCCATTCTCAGAAGCTTTAGCTGCTTTTTGCTAAACCGGAACAAATCTATAGAGAGAAACAAATCGAGGAAAACAAATGTAAACATCAATGTCTATTTATCTTTTTTTTCCCAGTTTATTCCAGCAAATCTTTGACGTTACCTGTGTTTTGTAAAGTTTACGAACATTATTAGCAAAGTTAAGTTAGTATGTGGTAAGCAGACAAGGTAGAAACCCTTCATGACTTTCAAACAGCGATTGACCTTTGACCTCAGATGCAGAAAGGAAACAAACCCTCTTTCAGTGTTTGACTGTCCTTGATATATGCAACAGTTTTCTACCTTCCTGATCAAGCTCTATTTTATTTTCTATGGGTGTGCTGATACTAATATCATTTCCACATGATCAATAAGTGATCAGTTATTCTTTTCTTCAATCTGATCCACAACTATTCTCATTTTCGTCATCAGGGAAGCCATCAACAGGCTGTGTGAAGCTGTGCCGGGAGGAAAGGGGGCCTGGCGGAAAAAGGTTATTTGTAAATGTATAATTTATTAAATTTATTTGTACTTTTATCTCCACCATTGTCAAATTCTCTCTGTGAAACAGCCCCGCCGTTGTGTTCTTGCATCCTTCTAAATGTATTTCTTGTGTGTCTCCTTTCGGATGCAGTCCCCAAACAAAGCTCTGCAGTCAGTCATGGGGAAAAGTAACCTGCGGTTTGCAGGCATGAGCATCGCTGTCAACATTTCTGTAGACGGACTCGGTCTGCTCATCCCAACCACGCGACAGGTCAGATGACTTTATTAACAGGAAGAAAATGAACTGAACATACTGGTGTTTTTATTGTACAGTGGTGACATATGAACCAATAGATGCTTTTCTAAGAATGTTAATTGTTACTTTTGAAGGTTTGGTTTCCTTTTACTTCACTTGACCTTATACAGCTTCTAGGTCATGATTAGTATTAAAATTGAAATGCAGTAAGGTTATTTATTAATATTTAAATGAAAAAATAAAACATGTAGGAAATACTGTGTACCTCTAAAGTGAGCTGCCAAGTGTTGGTAAGTGTAAAACCTTTAGCTAAGTCAAAGAGTAAAGTATTTCACATCCGGTTTTGAGCAATGCTACATTTATGTCGCTTCACACCTGTCTTTAGTCTTTACTTGTCTCTTTCAGGTGATCGCACATCATCCCATGCAGTCCATCTCGTTCGCCTCTGGAGGAGACACAGTGAGTATCTGGACTAGATGTTTATACCACAACATGACAGACATGCCTTATTCTGGTTTCCAACCTTATACGTAACTAAACAAATCAATAGATTTAGTGACAGATATCTAAAATAAGTTTTGCCTAACTGAATTTTCCTGGATTCTGCAGGACACACCTGATTATGTTGCCTATGTGGCCAAGGATCCCATAAATCAGAGAGGTATGCCCTGAACACCTTCCTCCTCACTGCCCAGTTCATGATGAGCTGTAATATTTTGATAGGAATAAAAAATAGAGAAATTCCTGCAAAAATGCAGTGTGAATAGTTATTGCTGAAGAACTTGCTAACAAAAACAGCTGAAATTAACATGCTGAAATGGAAGAACAAGCCAAAGTTAGCAGAATAAAGCAGAAAAAAACAGATATTTGCTGAATTGTGTTTAGCAGAAATGAGCAAAAAGGTTAGGAAATTAGCTACACAAGCTGAAATTATCACCAAAAAAGTTAGCTGAAAAGGCAAAAAGAAACAAACTATCAGTAGGAAGTGAAAAGAGCTGAAATGAGCTCCAAAAATGTGGAATTAGCTGAAAAAGCTAAATTTAGCACAAAAACAGCTAAGCTGAAATAGCAGAAAAGGCTGAAACTAGCAGAAAGAAGTTGAAAGGATCATAACAAGCTGAAATTAGTAGAACAAAGTTATTTAGGCTGAAAGTAGCCGAAATCACCACGAAAATCTTGAATTTATCTAAAAACAGATGAAATGAGCTAAAAATGCTAATTAAAAAAAAGTTAGCTGAAAATGTGGAACAAGCTTAAATTAGCAGAAGTGTAGAGAGAGCACAATGTTGCCCAGTTCGGCTGAAAGAAAAAGAAATGAGCACAAATTGGAAATTATCTGGAAAATGCTGAAATTAACAACAACAACAAAAAAAAAAAAACAGCTGAAAAGTAGCTAAAAAAACAGAAAGAAGCTTAAATTACCAGAAGGCAGTGGAGAGAGCACATTTTTTGCTAAATTAAGCCCAAAAAGTTGAAATGAATGCAAAAAAAATGTGGAATTAGCTGGAATAAAAAACATTAGCATAAAAACAGCAAAAATAGCTGAAATAGCAGAAAAAGTTGAAACTTAAAGAAATAAGCTGCATAGAGCATAACAAGCTGAAATGAACAGAAACAAGTTAAAAGATGCACAAAAGTGTTGTAGGAGCTCAAAACAGCTGAAAAACAGCTGAAATTAGCTGAAAGAAGCTGAAAAAGTTTAAACTTGCACAAGGAAGCTGAAAGATGCTGAACTGGAATAAAATATGAAAGGAGCAGTAAAAGGTTGTAAACTGATCTAAAGATATGAAGGATGTAAAATGAGCTAAATTAATTTTCTATGAGAAAAAAATGGCCGCAACGGCTAAATATTTCAAAAAGCTAAAGTTGCATCAATACCAAACGTCATAGCAGGATTGTTGTGAAAGAGCTGAACGTTTTGATTTATGATTCGATAAAATAGCACAAAAATTGTGGAACGAGAAAGATGCTGAAATTGTACGGAAGATAAATGGATCACAATAGTGTGAATGCTTCATAAACATTCACAAAACGAAGCTCACTTTTACACATTGCTCAAAAGTAAGCAGGTTTCTTGTTGTTTATGTCTGCAATTCTTGTTGGGTGTTTTTCAGCATGCCACATCCTGGAGTGTTCAGATGGTTTAGCCCAGAGCGTCATCAGCACCATTGGACAGGCCTTCGAGCTGCAGTTCAAACAATATCTCCACAGCCCTCCTAAAACCATGGCGTCTGTAGAAAGGTAACACAAAGACTGTTCATCAGTAATCTCAGCTGCTCTGACTCAGTACCCAACTCCCTCTGTCCTCAGTTTTGCTCATGGTCAGATTCTTGTATGTAAGCCTTCGTCTTGTTTCAGTCCTGTTTTTTACTTTAATTTTACAAGTCCACCTGCTCCTTGTGTGAACATTGATTCAGTATTCACACTGTTGCCTTCCCGTTTGGAGCCATGAACGAAAATGTGATGGAAGTTTTAATAATTGCACATTAAAAACACCCAACAGGTCCATCAAAGCTGCACCAAAGAGCCAAAGTTCTTTCAAAAATGAGACGTGAACGCTTGTGTCCTTCTCGTATTTTGAAAACGCAGATTTTCTCACATCACGACCAAACGTTAGGACTTGACTGATGTTCCTGCAGATACAGCAGGAACCGTAGATTCACGAGCGGCTTCGGATGTTATCAGTCCATTAAATGGTCGTTATTAGTTGTTATCATCCCCATAAAGTGGTGAGACTGTCCCACCCACCTCCTAGTAGGTTTAAAGGTACGTTATTATCGCTGATAATAGGCAGCGTTGCACAGGGGTAAACCAGGAAGTGTCTTTTTTTTTTCAGCTTATGCAACCCTTTTCCTAAACCTAACCTTACACCTGACCCAGAGGACCAACCCTAAACTTAACCCCCTTACCCTTGTGCCTAAACCTAACCAAGACCCTAAACCTAACCACGTGAAGCTATTATGAGCGCTAACAAAGGTAAAACGGAGCCTATTATCATGGCTAACAACGTATCTTTAAACCCACTAGGAGGTACAGGAGGGGCCGTCTGACCACTACATATGGGGATGATAACTAATAACGATCATTTAATGGCTGATAACATTCGAAGCGGGTGGAGCGATCAAAACACACTCCTTCCTGTCAGTGGCATCGTATTTATGGTTATTTAATAATCTTAGAGTTTACATTGGGATGACTACATTATTTGCTATTTTAGCATGCCATATAAAACTGATTTCTCAGATATAGATAATTTAAAAAAAAACAAATTCAGACTGTTCTGAAACATATAACCTCGCTTCTTCTCTATCCCATTCTAGGCCTGTCAGGATGGAGGAGCCCATGTGGGGGGAAGAGGAAGACTTTTCTGAGCATGATTACTACAACAGCATCCCAGGGAAGGAGCCCCCTGTCGGGGGAATCGTGGACTCCAGATTCAGGCCCACTGGAGCCTTACTGGGCCACATTCACACCCAACCACAGAGCAAGATGGCACATCAAGTGAGTGTCCTGACATTAGTGCAGTTGATCATGTCCAGCTCTGGATGCTGTTATGATGGTCAGTGATAACCATAAACCTATTCTACATACACAGTGTGCATTTTATACTACAAATGAATATCATCATTCAAGTTTTTTTTGTTTTTTTTTAAGCATATGTTGGAAGAACTCTGTATTTATGCTCGAGTGAGGTTTAGATCTGTTGTCTTTTTTAATTTTCTCTCACCTTTCGATTCCCTAATAAAACCAGAGCTGTCAGCGATGAAACTTTATGGTCTAATGTTTTCTCAGATGTAATAGAAACTGCATCTGGTGGTTATAATTATGATCAAAGTTGGTCACAGAAAGACAGAATCAGAATCTGTCTGAAACACCTGGCTCCTCTCTGATTATCTGTTTTGTTTAGCCTTCTATGTAGTTGAACAAAACTGTAGCATGAACATGGACTCTGTAACTGTCTCATGTCTGCACCACAACGCCACACACAGTTGCATGAAAAGGTTTGGTGTTAGAAACCACCGGCCTCTCCGTGCAGCTTGTTTACAGATGAGGACTCTGTAGAAGGTTGTTGGTTTAAGATGTGTTCTTTGGGTGTGGTTGTGTTTTAGCAGATGGGATCGCCAGCCAAGAGGGAGCAGGCGTCTTACCCACCCGGACAGCTGTGTTATGAGCTTCACTGGGACACGGAGACCACCTGCAGCTCGGGTGAGACATCCTGTGGCACGAAGGGCCGAAAACAGGCTAAAAAAAGGTTTTCTTGAGTCAGAGTGAGCGATTGTTTGTGGCAAAATTACTTTGATTTAGGCCATTTTAATCAACATTAAGAAGTTTTTTTTTTATTATATTTTTTAAAATAATGTTTAAAGTTTCTGTGTTTTCATTTATTTACTGAAACTACTTTTGGTGCCACTTTACAATAAGGCTCCCCTTATAGATGGCTAATAAATAGTTTATAGATATGTTATTAATTCCTCTACAAACACTTTATCAGTGGTGGAGAAAGTACTCAAACACTGTACTTAAGTAAAAGTACAAATAAACAGACAAAAATGTACTCTAGTAAAAGTAGAAGTAGCTTTTAAAATACTTAAAGTATTAAAAGTAAAAGTACTTGCTGAATGTATTACCTAATGTAATGGTCTACATATCTTTAAGTCTGCCTACCATATGTATATTTCCTGTAATACATTAATAGTGTTGAGTCATTTTAATGAACAATGCTGCAGATAATACATGTTTTTATTGTGACACAGTTCACACTTGGACCTGTGATTCTGTGCGTCAGAATTTCATGGATGACCTGCAGAGTTAAATGCCATTAATCAAAATAAGAGAGGAATGATTTAACCTTTGAAAGTTTTTATTAAACACAAATCAAAACCCATGTGTCATTTTAACGGCAGTAAACACATTTAAGTAAAAGTTGTCTGCCTGAACAAAAGGGGCATTAGACACAACTAACAAAGGAACAGGCTTTGATTATTTCAACTCCAGTTTGTCATCAACTCTAGTTAAAATACTGTCTATTCAACCTTGTAATGGGTCAATACTGAACAATATTTTAACTTCCTGACACCATTTTTAAAACTTGGACATGAGTGTCGAGACATTTGGAGACATCTCTTGTCTCCTAACATCCCATGAACTGACACATTTTAATATTGCAGCAAGAATTTCTTGTTCAAGTTCAGAAGAAGTTGGTTTTCAAAGATTTTTGAGTCCAGTCTGGTTCTTTTGGGAGAGAGAATCTGTCCTGTTGTACTGAACAGTCTTTAAATAAGGCCATGGGTGGAGCATATCTTCTGGGTGACTCTCTTGTGGTGGAATATATTTTGGGTGTGTTAGTGGTGCAGCAGGTGCACCCAGCTCAGTGACATAAATACTACAATATATGTCATTGGCCCAGTTCTTCTTGAAGGTGGGCCTAACATTACCTGCACACTTTGCAGTGATTCAATGGACCAACTCTCCTCTCACCATTGGTTACTTTCAAAGTAACAAATAAATCAAAAAGCCACAACATGAATGTAACTTGTAATGCAACACATTATAGAAATGTAGTGTAGTAGAAAGTACAGATACTTGATGTAAAATGTAGTCAAGTAAAAGTATAAAGTACCCACATTTAACTCTACTTAAGTAAAGTACAGATACACGAAAAATGTACTTAAGTACAGTAACGAAGTATTTGTACTTAGTTACATCCCACCACTGCACTTTATAAATCATTAATAACTGCTTATTATGTGTTAATAAAGGGTGACAGAGAGACCAAACTGACCAGTTTGTTGCCAAATAGTGAGACAAGTCTCTTCAGCTATATATTTCATCTAGAGTTGTTACATTAAACATTTCAGACTAAGTTACTACTTTGTAGCACAATAATCATCTGTAAACCCATTTCTTTAGCATATAATATTGTACTTATCCTAAAATAATATGTTTACAAAAGGTTATTGTGCTTACAAATTAGTAACTTAGTCTGAAATGTTTATAGATGAAATATATAGATGAACAGATCTGGCTCACTATTTGGCAAGAAACTGGTCAGTTTTTTCTCTGTCACCCTTAATTAATGCAGAATAAGCAGTTATTAATGATTTATAAAGTGTTTATAGAGGAATGAACAACTTATCTTATAAACTATTTATTAGCAATCTATAAAGGGAGCCTTGTTGTAAAGTGGTACCCAACTTTTTATTAGCTATTTGGTGTATTTCTGTGGAATTCAGATGTTTTTGAGTTTATTTGTTCGGTTTAATCAACTATGGAGCTCGGCTGCTGTTTTCTACGTCATTGTGTGAAAAAGTGTGGTAATCGCTGCTTTGTGTCCTGAAGATGGTTTATTTTCCAACAAACTCAGAGACAGTTTAGATTCTTCTCTTCAGATTACATTAAGATTAGAAGATCTGGGATTTACACGCAAAATGTCCTGTTTCTATTTTTTTTACCTTTATGTTACCAGTAAAGAAATCCATTGATATTATTCATCTCTTTTACAAGGATATCCTGGGCAATGTGCACGGTGCAAACAAGCCATTAAAAATACAGCAACAGTCTTAATAACAGTAATGTTAAAACAGTTACAACAAAACATTGGGTAATACAACATAAAATACAATGCAAGTTTAAAAAACATCGCAATTTAAGACACTTACACATTACAGGTGCAAGTTGTGGCTAAAACCTCTGACAGTTTTTAAATGATGAATGATGAGAAGAATGCAAAAAGTATGCTTAAGATATTAATAATCTGAAGAAGTTTTCTGCACCTTTGCTCAAAAAATTTATTATATAAAAATGGTTTTATAACTATTTCAAATGTAATGAGAATATTTCTGCTGATTTGAAACAACTTCAAATGTCAAATTGTTATTTTTTTTATTGAACAGATTGTTAGGTGGCATACTTATGTCAACAATAAGTTGTAATGATAATAATAATAATAATAATAAGCAATAAGTATGATCTATCATTGCATCATTAGCACAGGTTAGGCTTAGCAGCAGTACACAATCTGGTACACTCTGTGATAAATGTGAAGGTTTTAAATAGTAAAATCAACCACTGGAGAGAGGACAAAGTACAATATATTCAAAGTTTAGAGTTCAGGAAGAGAAATTAAGCCAGCTGTCAGTGAGAAATGTCTTTGTTCTGACATCAGATGGGTACCTGTGTGCTGACGGTCAGCCGTCGGGCACCAAGGACTACGAGGAGCACCAATACGTAAACACCCAGAGCCTGGAGAACCTGGAGTCACTCACACAGAGCGCAGGACACAAAGGGGCCAAGGCCCACGACAGTCCAAAGAAAGACCTCTTCGACATGAGTGAGTACTCTGACAAGTACAGTGGGACTTACTTATCTTTGAATAGAAAAACCACAGCAGGATGAATAAATCTCTGTTGTGATACCCCCCTTGTGCCTGCAGGACCTTTTGAGGACGCCCTGAAGCTTCACGAGGCCTGTGGTGGAGCAGTTGGCTCCAGGACACCAGGAGGTTCTGCTTCTCAAGCTGCAGCGGGAGCTGCTCGAAACTTGGAGGAGCAGTGGCCCAGTCCACCGAGGCGCAGGGCCCCCGTGGCCCCCAACGAGGAGCAGCTGCGCAGAGAGCCGTGGTACCACAGCCGCATGAGCCGAAGAGACGCAGAGAAGATTCTGGTCCGAGATGGGGATTTTCTTGTGCGCGAGAGCACCACCAACCCTGGGCAGTATGTGCTGACAGGCATGCACTGCGGCCTGCCCAAACACCTGCTGTTAGTGGACCCCGAGGGCGTGGTGAGTCTGACGGCTACTGAAACATCTGATGCAGTTCACTGCTTATCATGAGTGGACTCAAATCCCTTCTTCTCTCTGCAAAGGTCCGGACCAAAGACATGTTGTTTGAGAGTATAGGCCACCTGATATCATACCACCTTAAGAACCAGCTGCCAATCGTGGCAGCAGAGAGTGAGCTCCACCTTAAACAGATTGTAAGGAGGAAACAGTGAGACAACTGGCTTGGTTGAGATGGTAAGTTAGGACTTAAGTAGATTTGCTCAAATATAAGCAATCTTCTGCTGTTTACCTCATTTTTTTATATAGATATTTATAATGTTTGCAAAATTGCTTGTAGGTACACACATGTGCCACATATGATGCTATTATATAATAAATGTGTCATCTGTTTCTCTTCAACATGTCTGAGAGCTGGCTTCTTCTGTATCCAAGGAGGTATTCTACCTAAAAAAACACATTCATCTTGAAGGAAGTGATGCTTTCATCATGACTTAGCTCTCAGGAATAAAGATCATTTCTTGGATTCTTTTTGTTTTTGGCTTCAGGACTAAATCAGAAGTGTCATTCTCTCATAAACTCCACCCACCTGTAGACATTAAGCTAACCAGGATTCACAGTTCGACTCACGCCAGAGCTGCAAAAAGAAAACGGTCAAATCTCCAGCTGACAGTTGTTTGGAGAGGACCCAGCCTCAGGAAACTCCAAACTGAGTTTGGAGGCAGAGTGAAGAAGAAAAAGACGTTCAGCAGAGGCTGTAATCATGAAGCGCTTCCAGTAATTTGCGGACGAACTTTCTGCCAACAGTGAAAATCCCCTGGATAAACAAAAACTGACTGATGAAAAAAAGAGATGTCAGAAAATAGTTTTGAAAATGCAACAAGTGACTTATTCTGTGACTGTCAGAAACAAATGAAGTGTTTTACCTTTTGGACTATAAAGACTCACCCGTCTGCACCATCTGACAAGGCACAAACAAGAAACATGGTTCAGTGTCAGACATACAAGATGCACATTCCTTATTACATTTCATATATATATATATATATACATACATGTGTGTATATATATGTATGTATATATGCATATATATATATTTAAATACAGTATATATATATTCATATATACTGCATATATATATAAAAATACAGTATATATTTATATATACTACATATATATGTGTGTGTGTGTGTATATATATTTGTACGTACAGTATATATGTATGTATATATGCATATATATATATATATATTTAAATACAGTATATATATTCATATATACTGCATATATATATATATATATATATATATATATATACAGTATATATTTATATATACTACATATATATGTGTGTGTGTATATATATATATATATATATATATATACATACAATATATATATATATGTATACAGTATATATATATATATATATATAGATCTATCTATATATATCTATATTTATATATATATGTATGTATATAACATTCACACATATATTTTTATCTAAATCCTCCAGTGTACGTTTGTTTGTTTCACCATGATTATTGTTTGATGAAGGAGGCACATGCTGTTTTATCGTGTGATATTACTGATCAGATTTATTGTCAATCCTGAGTTAAATGTGAACTCATCTGCATTCAAACTCATTATATCCACATTTTCTTCACAGCTCATACGCGTACTTCAGTGCCTTAATAAGTACTCTGATAGGCTTTTGTCTCAGAGTGTATGTGTGTATATATATATATATATATATATATATATATATATATATATATATA